AAACCTTTTGACTCCTTCTTCATCTGTTAATATATCTTCTGTCCACAGTGGAGGCAGCCCCACGTTGATCCAGTGTAACGAACTTGCTACACACAATGAAAATCTGGACAAGAGCACTGGATGAAAAGTACACTGTGCATGTGGCATATACTGATTTCCGGAAGGTATTCGACAGTGTTTCGCACCAGCGTCCCCTGTAAAAGTTGAGAGTAATGGGCATTGGAGGCAACGTTTTCAAGTGGATCGAGGATTTCCTTGTCATTCGTTCCCGAATTGTCTGCGTAGAATAACACCATTCAAGGCGCAAATTCATAGAGAGTGAAGTCCCTCAAGGCTCATTGCTCGGAACAACCCTCTTTCTTGTTACTTTTTAGTTTCCTTAAAAATGGCGTACGAACTTCGAGTAAATCAGTTTATTCAAGGCCTACAGGCACAGAGCGAGAATTTTATGCATGAATTGGAGTATCTACCAGAAAAAAGACGGGGAATGCTAGGGGACCCACTGACAAGCCGAGCCCCTCGTATCTGCGCCATGCAGCGGCAGAATATCGACAAAACACGTGTGCATGGGTTTTCGTCCAGTACCTGTGCTGTTAGTATGGTACCACCTTACTCCAAACCCTCTTTCTCTTGTTCATCAATGATTGTGTAGATGGGCTGGGCTGTGATAGTGCGATGTTTGCAGATGACATAAAAATCCGGAAAGTTATCCCCGCTGTTGCTGACGAGATCGACTTCCAAGAAAATCTTTGTCGGTTGGACGAGTGATCCCGCAGATGACTACTGTCCTTCAATTTGAACAAATGCACCATAATGCGTCTCGGAAATCAGACCCCGAGTACGCTGACATACCATCTGGACGGAATGCTACCCCGAGAATCAGAAACGCAAAAAGATCTTGGAGTCTGGTTTGCAGACAGCCTAAAGTCTTCTACATAATGTTTTAAGGCGGTTAAGGTCGCAACTTTAATGTTATACGCAATCAAGCGGGCATTCGCAGTTTTAATAATAATAATATTCAATGCAACTTTACAGGCATTGTCGGGGAAGGTTAAACACAAATCCGGCCAGCAGTGAAAAAACTCCTGACACAAAAAAGTAAAAATAAAGGTGACTGGAATTTTTCATGAATTGGAGGATTAAGGAGAAAAAAGTTTTTGATGAAGGCTGTTTCGCCAAAGTCTTCGGCACGTTTGTGAGGCCACATCTCGAATATGCAATTCAGGCCTGAAGACCGTGGATGCAGCAGGATTGCAATCTGCTCGAAAGGGTGCAGAGAAAAGCAACAAAATTAATAAAAGGTGAAGGCGCGGTGCCATACGAGATCCGTCTAACCAACCTTAATCTCTATCCTCTGAGTTATAGACGGTTACGCGGAGAGTTCATACAAGCTTTCCGTATAGTGCGTGACTTGGACTGCGCCCTTCGGTGCGACGAATTTTTTCAACTCGCCACTAGAAATAGCCTCCGAGGATATCCCCCCAATCTACGTGTGCCCCAAGGTAAACGGGATGTGAGAATGTATTTTTTCACCAACCCTGTCGTGGAAACGTGAAATAACTTACCCAAGGCGACAGTTATGTCTCAATCTGTGGAGACATGTAAATGCCGGCTTTGCAGACATATGCTGCAGCAAAAAGAGGACTATGCGATTTTCTCACCATAAAACCAGTGATTTATCTGAATCGATGTCAGAATTCACTTAATGCTATAATTTCTTCACATTTTTGCTTACTTTCCCGATTTTTATGCACAAATAGGGAGTTCAGAGTCGCAAGCCTATTTCCATCAAATACACTGACTGACTGACGGAATGACTGAAGCCTTTAAACAATGCCTCCATTACAGAGCCTACTCCCCTCGCTCTCTCAGTTAACGGGATAACAGTTATTTCATGAAAGAAGAACAATAGGTTCTGTCAAATCACTTTCCAAAGTAGTAGCCTTCAGCAGGCGCATCTTCTTCCTTGATGGGCCCGAATCCTAAATACAGGGACCATTGGGGAATAAGTATTGAAAGTGATATCGGTAATGTACAACTAAAACACTGAAACGAACGTAATGCTGGCATATTCGTAATAAAAAATTGTATGTGTCTCTTTTCACGGTATTTTATCTTTCCTCTGTTTCGCAGTTTCCACCTCAGCACGTCCTGTAGTTAAAAGTAGCGGATTTGATCTTTTGAATGATTTACGTCTGTGTCAGTTTTTAAGGATGCAAGTGGAAAAATATCTCCCAAAAAATCAATTACGGGGACCAAGCAATCCTCATTTACCACGATGGGAGCATTTGCCTGACAACACTTGGATAAGTTCCTAAACAGAGACAAACTCCGTCTACCCTGAAGTCCTAAAATAACCCTGACAGGGCCATCTGGGAAAACCAATGACGTTATTTGATTTTATCCAGCAAGGCCGACGTCAACATCTGTCATGAAGGTTATTTTATTCTGGACTACATAGAATCTTTGTGTTGTAAACTTCAGATAAATGAGAGTCCTGGGTTTAACGAAAGCAAACTTCTTATCTTCAAGCGGGTAGCCGTTTGAACATTATAATATTTCCCCGGAAATGAACGCCGGATCCTCAGAGGATGCCGACAACGTTGCTGAACCGACCAGTGGTACTGAGAACAGGAAAAAACCAATTGGGCTGGTTATGCTACCCGAAGAAAAGGGGATTGATGACACCGATTCAGAAACTCGATTGGAGAACGAAAGTGACGTCCTGTAGCGGCCGAGGACATCATGGGCAGCACACAACCACGTTGCAAAGTACCACAAAGAGATTCTAGCTTACGCTGATTCGAATACGGTTGTTAGTAGTTCGCGATACTCATCCGTACATAAAGGAAAATGAAACGACCGGTGAACGAAAAGATAAAATTAACAGAAAATAGAATGGAGAAGGTACATAATTATAGTTAAAAGTACAAACAGAACGAGTTACAGCCGTTGAGTAATCTGTGCGGATGGAGAGGCGATACCAACATGCCAGCTAGTAAACCGGTGGGGAACGCAGCGTCGACGTAGAGAGAAAAAAAACGGTGCGAGCGTCACGATACGATGCAGGGAAGGGATCGGCGGAATTGAAAGGAAAGCGCACCGGTCATCTTCCCCAGCACGCGGTTACGCCATCTCCATCCTAAAAAAGTGTCACAGCACTCAAATAACCCTACTCAGATGAAGGGACGTGACAGTCCGAAAGAATACGGTAAAAATCGTGATAATGATTGATGCAAATAGAGGTGCGGATTACGCGAATATGATATGACTTTTTAAAAACCTCATAATAGTCTATGAAAGAATCAAACTAAAATATGCCTTGACGAACTTCTACAGACGTTAAACCAATAACCGAAATCGATTTGTCGATGTCTACAGAGGCTAATGCGTTAGAAATATCGGTTTCGTATGACCAATATCTTCCCGTCCGAGTAATATCGCTTGCTTTAACTGTAAATTTTCTGTATTTGTTCATACTATTTTGTGGTCTTTAAGGGATATTTAAAGGATACGTTGGGCTGTTGGTTGTTTGTTATTTGGGTTGGTCATTTGGTGGGTCGTTATTAGGGTTGCCTGTGATGGACATAAGTTGCGTTTCCTCACAACCCTTCGGTTCCAGTGTTTCCGAACGTTACTTAAGTATAAAAGAGCCAGACGCCCCTAGGATTCTATGGTCCTAACCACTATAGTGACAACACTTATTATCATGTAATATTCTTCACTTGCACTTATCAATTTTATTTTTCCTGTACACCACAAGAGATGCATCTCTATATAGCGTATATGTTAATAATTCGACTCACCTGCTTTCGTCGGTTTCTCAATAAAATCGGTATCGAGGCGATATTCGTCAGCATGTCAAATTCGCTCTTTATTCGCAGTCCGTATCTCGAAAAATCGATATCTACCCGAGATCAAGTAGATATACCCTTGTTAATAAAGTCGGTAAGGGTGGTGGTCTTATCTTTACCATTTATGACGTACCGTGGTGACGCTTGTGGGCGCACGTTTTCGTCACCTTGATTTAACAGGCATGGTAGATAAGAAGTAGTCTTTGTTCCTCTTATAAGGGTTCAAATTGTCTGCGCGTTTTGGGTCTCTAAATTTTTCTGGCCTGAAGCTAATAAGTACAGAACCATCCAGTAGCCTGGTCGCGACGTAGGATTCTTCCCCTATCCCAAGTAACTTCCTTGACCGTTTAGGCTAGAAAACACTAGTTTAACAGTCTCACTAAGAGAAATCTGCATTCAAAGATGGTTTCCTGACTCCAATTGCACTACAGCTACTTTTTATGCAGTTATACTCTACTTTTATCGCATTGTCAGGCCCTCTCCTGTCATGTTTTGCAGTTTGTAACCAGTCTTTACAATGCAGGTTTCTAAAATTTCCTGTCGGACGGGGGATTTATCAGCGACTCGATGAGTAGTGGCTATCATATCGTATTTCTGCAAGTAAATACCTATGCAGGACCTTAAGGTGGTCACTGCAGTTCCCAGCAGTAATCTGTAAATAGGAGATTCGGGACGGTGGTTAACGGAGTAATAGACGTCACTATCTTAAGACGATGGGACGTAAGCACTAAAAATGCGCTGCGGAGAGCAGATAAGTACCGAGTTAGGCGGAACAAGCGGAAGCAGACAGAAAAGCTAACACATGTAATACCTAAAGCGTCGAAAACTGGCGAAGCCCGAGCTTGCATCAGCGGAGACTGTGGCCAATGTTCCGGCAGCATATTAGGCGACTACTTCTTTTCCTATGCATGCATTCCCTTTTATTTCACAATGGCCAAAAACAAAGTGCATAGAAAATTGTCACGGAACTACCTCTAAATCAAGTTAATGCTTCTAAAATTTCAATGTTATTTGCAGTATCTTTTTTACTCCCCATTTCTCACATGTCTCGACTAATGGGCTTCTATTTCAGGTCAGTCATGCTTACTTGACGCTGGCTCAGCAAAGGGGGCCAGTCTCGTCTAAATTAAGAACACTTAAACAAATATGCTTAGGAAGTTGTTTCCTCGGTTGCCAGGTAAGAATTCAAAGGCTTCTTCTACTTCATAGAGAACACACGACAATCATCGTCGAAAACTCTACAGGATGATGACTACGTAAGGTTTTCGTCACTTATTTTCTCTCAGTTATTGTTACCTGCTGAAGAAGCAAAGGCGTCTCGTAATCAGATACATACGTGTGAATTTCTAGACTTTATAACATGCGTCATTGGACAAAGTGACTGGGAGGCGTTACAGTTTACGTACTGAAGGGTGAAAGGCATGGAGTCTACGGTCGATCAGGGAAGGTGGAATCTTGCTCTAGTGAGTGAGGATGGTAGGGCTACATTCTATTGCCGTAGCTGGCGTTTGCGTGTCCAAGACGAAAGGTAGGAATTTACGACCGACGTTCTCACGTCTGAAACGCGAGGCGAAGAGGCATGAAGGAACTTCGGTTAATGTTTTCAAGGATTTGATTGCGAATAGCGTGCTTTGTGGGTGAGGAAGCTAGTGGAACGTTGTTGTCATAAATGAGTGGTTTGGGCGGTGGAAACGACCGATGGAATGCGAGCATAGGCCGTCGTATTGCGTCTTGTGAGCACTTTTATGATTACTATGCTTGCCCCCGAAGTGCCAGTCTTCAATTATTCCGATTTCCTGGACGAACCGAAATCCTCGGAATCTATACTCTACTGATAGAAACAAGACAGTTCAAAAACTTCTGCACAAGTACACTTCGCTTCATAGTATTTCGTTACGTTAAAGAAGTCAATGTTTCCATGCCTCGAATTGTTTCGCACGTGTCAGTTAACTGATAACCAAATGGCCTCGTTTGTAATCTACTCAACCTCAACATACGTTGGAACTTGTAAACAATTGCCTGTGGGCTCTAAATGTACTCTTAGGTGGTAAGCATTACTCAGGCGATTTTGCAGCACTGAATCGTTCGAAACCTGCTTGGGCGATCACTCAGCCGCGGTGGCGTGCTGCCTTTTGCCTGCCAATCCTTCCTACCTGTTTATGTCGTACGACAGATTAGTACGCTCACCGGTTTTCCGCAAGAGTTCCTCTAGATTCTTGCTTGATTTCTAGTCATTACTGAGGTCGTCAAGGTCGCCGCCTTTCTCCTTTTGGCCTACGAATATTTGCGGCAATTTAGATATTGAAAATCCACTTAGGTTGACGTTCAGTTACAATTTTGGAGTGCTGACGACTTCATCGAAGTGGAGTCTGCACGTGCATTTTGAGCACGTACGTGAATTCTCGAAACCCCTTTTTGCCAATTTACCTTCAGTGTCCTGTGAATACTTTTTAGTTGGAAATAATTCAGAATTTTCATTGGATTTTAATGAAACACACGTCTCCGCCCCACAGAGGGACGCCACCAGGACCACAGCCCGGTATTTATCAGTCTGTTTTTAAGGAAATTGCCCGACGATTCGAGAATCATCTAAGGTATTAGGGCTTGAAGTCCGTCGTCGACTTTTATCTTCCTCTAGATAATGGATTCCAAGTAAGTGGATTGGTTTACAACTGTGAGTCGGTTGCGATTAACACCATGGATCCCCTATATTGGACAAATAACGTCGCTTGGCACAACAACCATGTGCCTACTTATGGCTGGAGATCTTATTTACAGTCACCGGCGAGGAGCGAGCAATGCGTTTTAGCCGTGCCGGTTTTGGGTCGGCCGGTGTATGACAAATGTTAAAATTTTCCATCTATCCGATATCTAATATTTGTTTTTTGACTGACCCACCAGCATTGCGCAGAACATGAGGCGGAGGGAGGTTAGAACGAGTGCGCAACTCTAACTCCCGCATTTGTCACCGAGGGCTCTAAAGTGGACCAGATATAAGTTACACGCGCTATTATGCCTTATTATGGTTACTTGACTATCTACATAACTTCTCTAGACGTCTGCATTCCATTATTTTCCATGGTTCCCGTTGTTACACGGTGTCGGATATCTACGAGATTTTAAAAGGGACTTGGGGTAAACGCTATAATGCCACTTTATAATTTCTTGGCAATTTACATAACTCTTCAGGAGAGGACACGAACCATCGGGGTCGATCTCGAAATTTTTGTGAACATGTGGGTCGAATTCAATCAACTTCTGCAAAATAGTCGTGCAGTACCCTCATCGATGAGCAAACAAGGCGTGATAGTTCACCCACCTGTGCCACTACTGTGACTAGTTAAGTTTTCATGAGAAGACGACGTACCAGATCGATACAATGCCGGACACGAGGTAATTATCTCTGTGTCCAGCGACTGGTTGTTCATCAGACCCGAGAATATGGCAGTTTGGCAGCAAGACTGCCGAAGGCCACCTCACTAGTCGCCAATAGTTGGCTTTGCCTCAAACTGCCAATTAGCAGACTGGGTGGACTTTCAGTTACAACCTGCTGTTGCTACTACTACTACTACTACTACTACTACTACTACTACTACTACTACTACTACTACTACTACTACTACTACTACTACTACTACTACTACTTCTACTACTAACTACTAACTACTAACTAACTACTAACTACTAACAACTACTAACTACTAACTATTAACTACTAACTACTAAGTGCTAACTACTAACAACTACTAACTAACTACTAACTACTAACTACTACTACTACTACTACTACTACTACTACTACTACTACTACTACTACTACTACTACTACTACTACTACTACTACTACTACTACCACCACTACTACTACTACTACTACTACTACTACTGAAATATACTTGAGGGGCTTCCAGCAAAATGCTTCATTACAGCCATCTGCGTTTCGCTACTTTTAAGGATTCATCCGTTGAGCCTGGGGTAGAGGCAGAAAAAGTCTCCTTTATTTCTTCGCAAACTCCTGACCTCCCGTCAGCATCACCTCCAACAATCAGTGGACAAACCTATCAAACGGTATTAATTCCGGATCGTTTTGGGCAGAAGAACTATTGGATGCCTGACGGTCATTGCAAAACTTGCTTCGAGTGTAATGCGAAATTTGGAATCTTCCGCCGGCGTCACCACTGCCGCTTTTGCGGACGCATCTTCTGCTTCCAGTGTAGTAATCATGTAAGTTTGCTGTTTTGATTTAAAATTTCGCTGTTGATACTGGCCCACTACATCCGAATTTTAATTTTCGAGCATGTTTACTCACTCACTCACTCACATGCTCACTCACTCACTCTCACTCACTCAATCACTCATCATCATCATCATCATCATCATCATCATCATCATCATCATCATCATCATCATCATCATCATCATCATCATCATCAT